GGGGGGGGGGGGGGGGGCGTCATACCCACGGTTTATACAAAATTGGTTCCCCTTCACCCAAGGATGCTTCAGAGCAAATATGGAACAAATCCTTTCATTCCTACAGAAGAAGCAGGATTTTAAAGAATTTGCTATATTTCCCCTATTGGGCCCCGCCCCTCAGCCCCCAAGGGGGGCCAGACCCACCTTTTATACAAAATTGGTTCCCCTTAACCCAAGGATGTTTAAGACCAAATATGGACCAAATCCTTTCACTCCAACAGAAGAAGAAGGATTTTAAAGAATTTGCTATAATTTCCCTATTGGGCCCCTGGGGGGCCAGACCCATGGTTTATAAAGAAATTGAGTCCCATTGGCCCAAGGATGCTCAAGACTAAATTAGGATAAAATTCCTTAATCCCTACGGTAGAAGAAGGATTTTAAAGGTTTTACCTCTATTTCCCCTATAGGGCCCCGCCCCTCTGCCCCCAGGGGGACCACACCCACAATTTATAGAAAATTGAGTCCCCTTTGCCTAAGGATGCTCCAGACCAAATTTAGTCAAAATATACTTGGCCGTTCAGGACTAGTAGTGTTTAAAAGGAAAAGTTGACGGACGGACGACGGCCGCTGCGGTATGGCATGTCCTTTGAACCAGGGAGCTAATAAAATATTAAGATTCTTTACCTTTCAGTTCATCAGAAAAAGTCATTTGAATTGTTTGACATATTTGACACCTGTGACCTTGAAAGTATGTCAAGGTCATTATTTCGTTCTCAAACTTTGTCAGGCTCTACCCTAAGAAGCTACCAGCCAAATACTAAGATTCTTTAACTTTCAGTTCTTCGGGAGAAGTTGTTTGAAGTGTTTGACATATTTGACCCCTCTGACCTTGAAAGTAGGTCAGTCATTTTATTCTTAAACTTTATCGGGCTCCATACCAGCCAAATTAAAAGATTCTACACCTTTCAGTTCTTCAAAAGGAGACATTAAAGTGTTTGACACATTTGATATCTGTGACCTTGAAAGTAGGTCAAGGTCATTTTTCATTCTCAATTTCTTTTGGGCTCTTCCTCTGGAAGGCACCAGCCAAATATTATGATTCTATACCTTTCAGTTATTTAGAAGAAGTGGTTTAAAGTATTTAGCATATTTGACCCCTGTTACCTTGAAAATAGGTCAAGGTCATTTTCATTCTCAAACTTTGTAGGGCTCCATCCCAGGAAGCTACAAGCCAAATATGAGGACTCCATACCTTTTAGTTCCTCAGAAGAAGTCGTTTTAAGCGTTTGACATGTTTGACCCCTGGGACCTTGAAAGTAAGTCAAGATCATTTTTGTTCTCAAACTATGTCAGGCCCCTACCAACAAAGCTTGTAGCCAAATATCATGAATCTCAGCCTGTCCACTCTACAGAAGAAGTTGTTTAAAGGAAAAGTTGACGGATGGACGACAGCCTCAGCGCCATGACAAAAGCTCACTTGCCCTTCAGGCAGGTGAACTAAAAATAGAAGAAATCCAGATGCTATTTCAAAGCATAAGTTCGCCATGGCCTTCATGCTGCGCATCACTCCAGCTAGAAACAGTGAAAAATTATTTACCCTGAGCATAAAGATGAAGTCATTTTGAGTTATATACATATTACACATTGTAACCATGGAGATGTGTCAAGGTCATTCATTTGAACAAAATCAATATCGTTTTATACCAGAAGTATACATGTCAATGTTATGATTCTGGTCTATATAGCGTTTTTAAGAGGTCAAAAATGACAAATGTTGAAGGTAAAAGGATTGACAGAAAAACAAATGGAAGCACAACAGACGCTGCACTATTGTATCACTCACCATGTCCTTTACTAAGGTGAGCTGAAATTTAACGGTAACAGAAATACATGATGTCATCTTTTGTGTGAGTCTGTATTACTGTGATAATATTCGATTTGCAATCAGCTGTTCTTCAATGGAATCAACATGAACACACACATATCTTAAACTCAGAAAATATTAAATATATGGAATATTATGAAATCTTTCCCACTTTCACTGCTATGAAAGTGTTTGTTGATGCTTCATAAATAAGGTAAGAGAATTCTCCGAGTCGATAGCTGAGCCGTGTTTCAGGTTTTAAACTGTAAGCCCGTTAAACAAGACATCAACAGGGAAAGAACCCACACAAGAACAGGTATCTATTACATGGATAATGTTGTCAGTTGGGTTTTATTCTTGTTTTTTTTGTTTGTCGTTTTATTTGATTGTTTTGTAACAAAATTAATGTCTCCATGAAAATGTTTTCTTAAAATTCCTAAGAAATTTATTAGAAACAAAATCCTCTTCTCATTTGAAAAGTTGCTGAAGACCTTCAAAACTCTGTGTGGAGAAGCACTACCAGTGTTAAACAATAGTTAGCAGTGCACTTGAGATTCAACACCAGGATCTCTTTGTCTCCTGCCTCCCTGCCTTTGCACCGACAGTTGTCCACAGATTTAAGTAATGCCAGCCTCTGGAACACCTCATTGAAATATAATGCCACAATGTGTTATTTGTACCATTTGCCAAAGGTTTCCTTATATTTTCATTTCCTCCAGTGTCGCAAAGTCGTAAATGAAATTGAATGGTATGTTATTATGAAGTTTTTATTTCATTTTAAATAAAATAATGCAAAATAAAAATAGCACTTTCTGCACTCTTTAACAAATACATTAAGGATATGGCAATACAAACTGTGGAAATGTACAAAAACCTTGTCTGAATACCTTAAAATCAGTAAGAGATAAATTGACCAAGATATATGATAACAACATGTTACACAATCAAGAACACAAAATGTTCACACAGCCATCAGAACAAGGTCACCACACAGCCATCAGTACAAAGTCACCACACAGCCAACATAACAAGGTCACCACACAGCCAACAAACAAGGTCACCACACAGCCAACAGAACAAGGTCACCACACAACCATCAGAACAAGGATACAACACAACCAACAGAACAAGGTCACCACACAACCAACAGAACAAGGTCACCACACAGCCAACAGAACAAGGTCACCACACAACCATCCGAACAAGGTCACCACACAACCATCAGAACAAGGTCACCACACAACCAACAGAACAAGGTCCCCACACAACCATCAGAACAAGGTCACCACACAACCAACAGAACAAGGTCAACACACAGCAAACAGAACAAGGTCACCACACAGCCAACAAACAAGGGCACCACACAGCCAACAGAACAAGGTCACCACACAACCATCAGAACAAGGTCACCACAAAACCAACAGAACAAGGTCACAACACAACCAACAGAACAAGGTCACCACAAAGCAAACAGAACAAGGTCACCACACAGCCAACAGAGCCAGGTCAACACACAGCCAACAAAACAAGGTCACCACACAGCCAACAGAACAAGGTCAACACACAGCCAACAGAACAAGGTCATCACACAGCCAACAGAACAAGGTCACCACAAAGCCAACAGCACAAGGTCAACACACAGCCAACAGAACAAGGTCAATATACATCCAACAGAACAAGGCCACCACACAGCCAACAGAACAAGGTCACCTCACAGCCAACAGAACAAGGTCACCACACAGTCAACATAACAAGGTCACCACACAGCCAACAGAACAAAGTCACCACACAGTCAACGGAACAAGGTCACCACACAGCCAACAGAACAAGGGTACCACAGGTACACAGCCAACAGACCAAGGTCACCACATGTAAACAGCCAACAGAACAAGGTCAACACACCGCCAACAGAACAAGGTCAACACATAGCCAACAGAACAAGGTCACCACACAGCCATAAGAACAAGGTCACCACAAAACCATCAGAACAAGGTCACCACACAACCAACAGAACAAGGTCAACACACCGACAACAGAACAAAGTCAACACACCACCAACAGAACAAGGTCAACACATAGCTAACAGAACAAGGTCACCACACAGCCAACAACACTAGGTCACCACACAGCCAACAGAACAAGGTCACACCACACAACCAACAGAACAAGGTCACCACAAAGCAAACAGAACAAGGTCGCCACACAGCCAACAGAGCCAGGTCAACACACAGCCAACAAGACAAGGTCACCACACAGCCAACAGAGCCAGGTCACCACAAAGCCAACAGAACAAGGTCACCACATAGCCATCAGAACAAGGTCACCACACAGCCAGCAGAACAAGGTCACCACACAGTCAACAAAACAAGGTCACCACACAGCCAACAGAGCCAGGTCAACACACAGCCAACAAGACAAGGTCACCACACAGCCAACAGAGCCAGGTCACCACACAGCCAACAAAACAAGGTTACCACACAACCAACAGAACAAGGTCACCACAAAGCCAACAACTCAAGGTCAACACACAGCCAACAGAACAAGGTCACCACACAACCATCAGAACAAGGTCATCACACAGCCAACAGAACAAGGTCACCCCACAGCCAACAGAACAAGGTCAACACACCGACAACAGAACAAAGTCAACACACAGCCAACAGAACAAGGTCACCACACAGTCAACAAAACAAGGTCACCACACAGCCAACAGAGCAAGGTCAACACACAGCCAACAAAACAAGGTCACCACACAGCCAACAGAACCAGGTCACCACACAGCCAACAGAACAAGGTCACCCCACAACCAACGGAACAAGGTCAACACACCGACAACAGAACAAAGTCAACACACCACCAACAGAACAAGGTCAACACATAGCTAACAGAACAAGGTCACCACACAGCCAACAAAACAAGGTTACCACACAACCAACAGAACAAGGTCACCACAAAGCAAACAGAACAAGGTCCCCACACAGCCAACAGAACAAGGTCCCCACACAGCCAACAGAGCAAGGTCACCACACAGCCAACAGAACAAGGTCACCAGACAGCCAACAAGGTCACCACACAACCAACAGAACAAGGTCAACACACAGCCAACAGAACAAGGTAACAGAACAAGGTTACCACATGTACACAGCCATCAGACCAAGGTCACCACATGTAAACAGCCAACAGAACAAGGTCCCCACCCAGCCAACAGAACAAGGTTACCACATGTACACAGCCATCAGACCAAGGTCACCACATGTAAACAGCCAACAGAACAAGGTCACCACCCAGCCAACAGAACAAGGTCACCACAAAGCCAACAACTCAAGGTCAACACACAGCCAACAGAACAAGGTAACAGAACAAGGTTACCACATGTACACAGCCATCAGACCAAGGTCACCACATGTAAACAGCCAACAGAACAAGGTCCCCACACAGCCAACAGAGCAAGGTCACCACACAGCCAACAGAACAAGGTCAATATACATCCAACAGAACAAGGTCAACACACAGCCACAGAACAAGGTCACCACACAGCCAACAGAGCCAGGTCAACACACAGCCAACAAGACAAGGTCACCACACAGCCAACAGAGCCAGGTCAACACATAGCCAACAGAACAAGGTCACCACACATATGATAACAACATGTTACACAATCAAGAACACAAAATGTTCACACAGCCATCAGAACAAGGTCACCACACAACCATCAGAACAAGGTCATCACACAGCCAACAGAACAAGGTCACCCCACAGCCAACAGAACAAGGTCAACACACCGACAACAGAACAAAGTCAACACACCACCAACAGAACAAGGTCAACACATAGCTAACAGAACAAGGTCACCACACAGCCAACAACACTAGGTCACCACACAGCCAACAGAACAAGGTCACCCCACAGCCAACAGAACAAGGTCAACACACCGACAACAGAACAAAGTCAACACACCGCCAACAGAACAAGGTCAACACATAGCTAACAGAACAAGGTCACCACACAGCCAACAGAACAAGGTCACCACACCGCCAACAGAACAAGGTCACCACACAGCCAACAGAACAAGGTCAACACACAGTCAACAGAATAAGGTCACCACATGTACACAGCCAATAGAACAAGGTCACCACACAGCCAACAGAACAAGGTCACCAGACAGCCAACAGAACAAGGTCACCACACAGCCAACAGAACAAGGTCACCACACAGCCATCAGAACAAAGTCACCACATAGCCAACAGAACAAGGTCACCACACAGCCAACAGAACAAGGTCAACACACAGCCAACAGAACAAGGTCAACACACAGCCAACCGAGCAAGGTCACCACACAGCCAACGTAACAAGGTCAACACACAGCCAACAGAACAAAGTCACCACTTGTACACAGCCAACAGAACAAGGTCACCACACAGCTAACACAACAAGGTCATTACACAGCCAACAGAACAAGGTCACCCCACAGCCAACAGAACAAGGTCAATATACATCCAACAGAACAAGGTCAACACACAGCCAACAGAACAAGGTCAATATACAGCCAACAGAACAAGGTCACCACACAGCCAACAGAACAAGGTGACCTCACAACCAACAGAAAACAAGGTCACCCCACAGCCAAGAACAAGGTGACCTCACAACCAACAGAACAAGGTCACCACACAGCCAACAGAACAAGGTCACCACATATACACAGCCAACAGAACAAGGTCACCACACAGTCAACAAAACAAGGTCACCACACAGCCAACAGAACAAGGTCACCACACAGCCAACAGAACAAGGTCAACACACAGCCAACAGAACAAGGTCACCAAACAGCCAACAGAACAAGGTAACCACAAAGCCAAGACAACAGGGTGACAGCATAGCCAAACAGGCAGGTTTTTAACACTATGAACCACAAAAGAGGCAAATAGACAATTTTGCTAATGTTAAAATCCTGACTTTCCTGTCTGAGAATACACTCTTATGAGAAAAAGTTATATAGTTCACACAAGGAGAAGGGGGCGAAAATTGCACATAGCACAATATATAAACTTGTCACCAAACCATGGGTAGGTGTTGAGGGATAATAAGTCTGCAGACAAAACCTGGTGACCTGTGTGAGCTTTGTCAGTGTGTTGGTATCAGATACAGCAACCTGAGGCAGACTCTTGACTTTTCTTCTTCGCATATTTTGGTGTCTCAAGGAAATCACATAGACTGATGAAAGGTTAATGCATGATGTAGTTTTCTGACATCCTAAATCACAGCTACACAGTTTGCATGTTCACGACCGGTATTTTATGGTCACATTTTATGGACATGCCATAGGACAAAAAAGTTTGCAAGAAAACTGGGAATGTTGGGGGTATATATTGGTAGAGTCTGTGTGTCACCCTCTCTGTCAGCATTGGCAGGTGCACTAGAATGTGCACCTTGACCTCGTACATAACTCATCTTAAATTTCAATTAAAAACCACAAACATAGAAACTTTTGCACTTGAATCAGTAAAATTGTATCATTTTTTTCCCATCTAATTTCATTTTGAAGCCCTATGATACGACATTTTACTTATCAAAATGATTTACTCACCCCATTTCATAAATATCTGAATTATAATACAAACCCACAAAACCGTTATATTTACCACTTGAAAATGATGACATACAAAAAGTTTGTTGCTTTTTAAACATTTTAATTTAAAATGATAATGCAACAAAATGATTTACTTCAGGTGAAATAACTGGCACAAAGAAGACATTAAATCATGCAAATCCCACAACACAATAAAAAGGTCATTTTACGGCTCAACAGGACAAAATGTCTCCTGCAAGTTATATGGACACACCTAACAATATTCATAGACGGGGTTTTTCAGATGTACTTTTACCAGTTAAAATGTTTCTGATAATTTATGGTAAACAGCCTGAAATTGAATATTTCCCATTCTTACGATAGCACAGATGGATGATCGTGTGTGATAAAGCCGTCAGCAGAATGTTTATATGTGTACGATACCACTTTCAGCTACAGTGTTATTTAACGACAAAGAATCAATGTTGACATACTCTATGGTATTATATCTTGAGTTTATCAAGTGGATGATCACACAGCGAATATCAACCTTCCTGATTGAAAAAGGATCATGCAATAGTGATTCTTCTACCAGAGCGCTCACAACCCGCAAAAATTATAACAAAACGAGCACACTTTCACCGGACTACCCCAATTTATCATTAAACCTCTACAAAAATACGACACCACCTGATCAGGCAAAACAAACGACAGTGAAAATGATTTGCCAATCAATGGTCGGATACAAGAGAACTTCTTGTTCAGACAAAATAGACCATCAATTTAAGATCTGTAGTAGCTTTAATTATTACTCAGTACAATGGTCACAGGCTTAATGATCTCTCCACTAGTACAAACCCGATCAACTTTTAATTCATCTCCAAAACACGTTTGCTAATTGAGTAATTTTCTACTGAGTTTTCTGGTGGCTGGGTAAAGTCAATAGAGACAGTTGAGCCAAGGTAAGACTTGATGTCATTAGTCCTTGTTTAACTGGGCTATAGAAATCGGACAAATAATTAAAGTGAATTATGTTATATATATATATAATATAAGCATGCAACACTTCCATCAGAGTAGCCATTTCTATAACAATTCCACCACTACAATGGTCTAGCATTACAGAACCAACCTTGATACGACCTTGCCGGGTACAATTACCTCCTTACTCCTCCCGACCTCGTCTATTACCCACAAACACAACTGTTGCTGTTAGGATAGGCTAAACAAAACTTAGATTCACAAAGAGTTCTCTTTGATCAGTATGTGACACTTGATAACAATGCATGAAATCATTAAATTGGTACGATTATATCTGGGCAGACGCCTTCGTGGTCATTAGGTGAGACTAGAAGATCTACCTATTGTCGTAGGAAAATGACAGTAAATGATGTCCCCAGCATAGAATTAAACGCTTACAAAAATGTGCATTACTAAACAGAGGAAACTCTGCAAACAAACAGGCCTCACAACATGTCTAGTCAAAGGAGTAACGGCAACAACTATATATGCCAAATTTGTGATGGAAATCATTTGAATGTCACGAAAGAAAAGTTAGTTGTCAGATAAAAAAAAAACGCTGACATACATTGTGTTGCGGAATAACATGGCCTGAAGATTCTTTGTAAAACTCTTACGCCATTGTGATCACACCTACAATCCCTGTCAAATGTTCATGCATATACATAGAGCGCTGAATATTGCTGCATTGTCCAGTATTTCTACAATGCACCACCGCTGCATTGACTGAACTACACCCCATATATAAATTCTAAACAAACGTATTCAAGATTACCCGATTAACAAGCTTCCAAATACCATTAAGATATAATCACGGGTGATGTTTTGATAGGGCAGATACACATATTCAAGACATTTCAATAAAATGTAGAGCAAACTCGCGTCTTTCAGAAGGTTTCCTCTTCATGATTACCTTATTTTTTGACAAATTAGTAAGCTTGGCTATCTGTGACAAACGGTAAACCCATCTAATGAAATGTTATGTTATTTGGTTCTATAGTAAGCCATCTTATTTAACACCATGTCAACTTGTCTTTATCAGATCCCATGTTAACCTGTCTAATCTGACATCATGTTAACCTGTCTTATCTGACATTATGGTAACCAGCTTCATCTTACACCATAGTAACTTGTCCAATCTAACACCATCATAACCAGTTTTTATTTGCTGCAAAAGCAACCTGTCTAATCTAACATCATGGTAATCTATCTGATCTAACACCATGGTAATCTATCTGATCTAATACCATGGTAATCTATCTGATCTAACACCATGGTAATCTATCTGATCTAATACCATGGTAACCTGTCTTGTCTGAAACTACGGTAACTTATCTGACACTAAGATAACCTGTCTTATCTGATGCCAATGCTTCCTTTCTTATCTAACCATGGTAACCTGTCTTATCTATCACCATGGTAACCTGTTATCTAACACCATGGTAACCTATCTTATCAAAAAACATGGTAACCGGTCTTATCTAACACCATGGTAACCTGTCCTATCTAAAACCATGGCAACATGTCTTATCTAAAACCATGGTAACCTGTCCTATTCAACACCATGATAACATGTCGTATCTAACACCATGGTAACCTGTCATCTTGCACCATGGCAACATGTCTTATCTATCACCGTGGTAACCTGTCTTATTTAACACCATGGTAACCTGTCTTAGTTAACACCATGGTAACCTGTCTTATCTAACACCATGGTAACCTGTCCTATCTAACACCATGGTAACCTGTCCTATCTGACACTATGGCAACCTGTCCTATGGTAACCTATCCTATCTAACACCATGGTTACCTGTCATATCTAACACCATAGTAACCTGTCTTATCTGACACCATGGCAACCATTCCTGTCTAACACCATGATAATCAGTCCTATCTAACACCATCAGTAACCTTCCTATCTAACACCATAATAACCTGTCCTATCTAACACAATGGTAACATGTCCTATCTAACACCATGGTTACCTGTCCTATCTAACACCATAGTAACCTGTCTTATCTGACAC